CCCCCCCTTTTCGTCCGACGCCGGCTGCCGGCTTGTGCTGAGGACTACCCGTATACGGGGCGGGGTAGAGGCGGGCGGGGCATCACAACCTGCCGGACTACTGAGCGCCTGGCTATTTATTTATGGACTAGCTAGCACCCCTTCCTCCTCCCCTCCGCCGTGCCCGTCCGGGCCAGCAGGATGCAATGGGCGTGTCTCGGGACACCACACAGTGTCCGAACCATTCCACGGCTTACAACCCTGGCGGGTGGGTGGGTGTACAGCGTACACCACTAATAATCGGCCGTACCCTTCGACCGCAGGGGCTGCACCATACCACTAACAACGTATACTAGACTGACTAATTTGCCTTCAACTTTAAACTTAGCAAAAGAGAGAGGAAAAAGCTTATCAATTCCCTTTAACATGTTTCAATTAACACGTTGGAAGCAAGAACTACGGATTCCCCCCCAAAAATGTGTTTCTTTTTTGAAAGTATGCTTCTGGGAAGAAAGTCGTATTTGGGGTGAAGTGGACCCATTTTCAAATAGAGAGGGCGAATGAGCCTCGGGTCCCTGAGTTTTCCAGAACAGCCTTTTGCTTGTTTTGCGCAGTATCCGCGCAGGTAAAACGCCATTCCGTCCTATGGAACCCAGCTCCCGTCTTCACCGTGTGCAAAGCTTGCAAAGCATTGTTTGTAGCTTGCAAAGCACTGTTTGTAGCTTGCAAAGCACTGTTTGCAGCTTGCAAATCATTTCATTGCAGTTGAAAGCAACATGTTTGTAGTCTGCAGCGCCAGGGTTCTATGTCTTACATCAAAGTGTGAAACATGATCGAGTACTTTCGAACGCACAAAAAAGGAGACAAAGACGCGGCCGTCACATTTACGTACAGTCGCAAAAGTCATGCGCCACAAACTTTTTATCTGCGGCACTGTGGCGGCATATATCCCCATCGTATTCCCCGAGTCCTTATCAAAATGAATACACTACGAGCCGCAGCCACATTGCGACCTTGCCTCGGCGCACGCGCTCACCCCGGGAAGGGGAAGGGGCGCAGGGCGGGGCGGAAGCGCCAACCACACGCACGCACACGCGAGGTACCTTGGGGGCCACCGCTAAGCGAGGCTGCACCGAAACGGAGCCTCTAAGCGATAGACTACACGGTGGGCCGCTGTGCCCCGTTGGAGCAAATACTACTAATTTGGTGGTAGGGTGCGGGTGGATTTGCCTATCGTCTAGCCACACTATTAAAAATTACAACAGTTAATAACTACAGAATGGACTGGTAATTTTGAAAACAGTGTAATCCTGTAGTTTGCCCTGTACTTTATTCTGGAGGAAAGTTCTTTCCAGACAATGTCAAGTCTTTATCCCTCAAATACCAGTCGAACAGATTTATGGAAGTACAGGACGATCTGTATGAATTCTGTTTCTGGTTACAGAATTTTTAACAGTGCACAGCGACCTATGGCCTCCGCGCGAATAGGCAGCCCATTCGCACAGGTCAGACTGCAGGTTATTCACAATTACCATAGCCAACCTCCTATCACTTCCGAAACCTCGCGGCTCGAGGCTCCTAACCTCTGCAGCATTCCATACTTTGTGTTCGTATGCGAATTATGAAAACTATTTCCGAACTTATTAATAACTTTTACCAGCTATACAAAGAATCACATCAAGAAGAGGAAAGTTTGATAAAGAATGGACACAGGACAAGCGACGGCAATAACGACGACTATGGAGGAACGGGAGAGGGACGGGAGGGATAGAGGAAGAGAAAGAGGCAAAAGGGGGGGAAGGGGGGAGAGGGGAAGAGAGGGAGCGAGAGAGATAGACTGACTGCGGCCAAAAGGGTTAGACGGTGAAGGGCCTACAAGCTGCCACACCGAAATTTACAGCCAGTGCTTGCTCTCGCCGAGTCCCGCGAGAATTAATTTCTCAAAATGAAAGCGCCAAGCAGAGGCAGTCGTAGCGCCAGCGCCCTCCCATCCCCTCCGGCTGCCCACGGAGTGTACGGCGGGGCCCGGGCCCAGGGGAAGCGGGGAAGAAAGGGGTAGCAACAGCTGCCTCAGGTATATTGCGATGTGCCCCCGTATCCGCACGCGGTGTGCTTTGCCGCTTGTTCCGCCCCGCCTCGCTCTGCCCCACCCCACCCCACCCCGCCCCACCTTACCTTACGACACGGACCGCCTCTCGCCCCGCCCTCCAACGTCACCTCACGCGCGCTCAGCCAACAACTCGTATTGACGACGACGACAACGACGCCGGTGGAGAGAACGGCGCGCTACAAAAAAATTGTTACCGATATTCGAGGAAGGAGGCGATGGCTCTATAAATATGAGCTATCGGGGGCTTCTGGACCACTGGAGAGAGAGCACTGCAGGAGGGCGTGGTGGTGCGGCCAGCGCTGGAGGACAAGGGGCCGGGTGCACTCTAAAATTTCCGCAAAGGCGTTGTGACCGTTTTCCAATCAGGGTTCCCTTCGGTTTATTTGTGAGTTAAAGAGAACCTGTGCAACTACAATGTGAAGAAATTTCAACTTACAACTATTACAAAAATAAAGAAGGAGGAATTGTAAACGTTTCAAAAACAGACACAGGGGAAAGTTATTTAGTGATCCAAGGGAAAAGTTTGGTAATACAAAACTCGTTAGTGATACAAAGCCATTTTCTGGCATTGCGGTTGAATGGACCAGTTTTATATTACAAAGAAGACAGCCATTTTGCAAGGACAAGAGCTGAAGAGTGTTGGCGATGGACTGGGATAGAGGTTGATATAAGGACGAAAGGCGACAGAGCGAGAGACCAAAGAAAGAGCAAAAGAGAGAGAGAAACGGAGAGTGCCAGTGCTCAAGAGCGGCGTCGCGCCCGGATACCCTCCCCGCGCGGATACCTTGCCATGATCCGCCCCAGGAGAGCTCCCCCGTCCCCGACATGGCCCGCTCCCCCCTGCCCTCCCCCGCCCGCGCCTGGACCTGCAGCTCCCAAGGCGACGCCACCGGTGCTACTCCAGCCCGACACAAACTTAACGCGGCAGGACACGATGAGGAAGAGGAGGACGAAGAGGACGGCCATCGAGGGGAGTAGTTGGGGGGGGGCTGCCGAAGCACAGCGTCGTGGGGATTAGGTGGCGGCAATCGATACACCGCCAGGGCACTTTAGCAGAGAGATATAGAGGAGAGGGAGGGGAGAGGGGCATCAGGCGCGAGGGCGTGAGACACTAACCTGCGTGTCGTTCCACCACATGTGCAGCCGGTAGTTGCGCAGCACGTTCTGGTTCTCGTTGATGTGGTCCACGGCGAGCTTGACGGACGGCATCACTCCGCGGCCCACCCGCGACTCGGGCACGTTCCGGGCGAAGGGGAAGAAGCCGGCGATGTACACGTCGTGGCGGTCCTTGCCACCCGTCGAGGTGGGCCGCTGGGCGTCGGCGCGGCCCGCGAGCGGCGCCAGCGCGGCCAGCAGGCACAGCCAGAGCGCGGCCAGCGGCAGCCGCAGCGACCCGGGGCCGCCGCCGGAGCCCTGGCCGGGGCCCTGGCCCGGGCCGCCGCCCGGGCCTCCGCCGGGGCCGCCGCCGGGGCCGGGGCGCGCCATCGTCGAGGTGAGGTGGCCGCCGGCCTCGCCGCCCCTCCGCGGCCGCGCCGCCTCACCGCCCGGGCCCCGCCGCCGTCATGTCCGCGCCTTTTGGCACCCACAGGGGCACCCGCAGGGGCACCGCGCGCGGCACCCACAGGGGCACCCACAGGGGCACCCGCAGGGGCACCCACAGGGGCACCCGGGCCGCACTCAGCTCATCGTGTCGCTCGCCTCCATGGCCCTGTAGACACACAACGCAGAGCATGACAATACACAATAAAAAGGAAATACAATTTGGCACAACATAGACCAGCCGAGACTCTAATTAAAAAGTTCCTTTAGCAAATGGCTCAGACTGCTCAATCAAAAGCTGGCAAAGTACACCGAAATATACACTGCCTGTGGAACTTAACTTATCGTCAGGACCAGACAAATTATTAAGCATGTGCGACGCATAGTTCGGCCAGTTTGAAAAGATAAACGAATTTGCAAAAAATTAAGGACTGGACTACAAAGAATTATCTCGACAACAGACGACAGGACCGTCCAGAGAGTACATCCGTTTTTCTCAAATTTGTTCGCTTAATTACGGGATCTTGGCGCCTGCGAGACTTGGGGTAGGCCATCCCGCAGTACCCACGTGCACTGCAGGCACGATTTTGCCTACCTACCAGGCGCTATGGTACTGGCAAAGCACAGGCGAAACTTAGCAGGTTTGTAACGACGAATGAAGGGCGTATACTTCATGGACGATCTCTTAGTTAGGCATCTCTTTTCAATAATTTACAAAGAATCCTTTCCAATAATTATTGATGACAAAATTCATTCCAATAATTTCGACTGCTAAGAAAAACCGTTGCAATTAACGACGAAGCCTTCCCAGACATCCTACTGTGGATACATACACTTTGGTTTCTGCCCTCCCAAAAGTCAGTTGCTCTCTTTTTTGATGGGGGGGGGGGGGAGAAATCAAAAATGTGTCGTATATTTGTGGCGTGTTCCTCGAGGCGGCAACCGCTGCTCCGCTTTGTGTGGTGTGAAGATGTGCTCCTCTCGCGGGTCCCCATTCACGGTCGCCTGTCGCCCTATCAACATTATCTACGAGCCCCCCCCCCCCCCCCAGCAACCGCCACTCGACGGGTCATATCGCACTTCCCTCCTTGACGCCCGGCGCGGGACAAACAAAAGTTTGTTTTCGTGGCGTGGCGGCGAGGGGCGCGACGGGGGGTCTCCGCGCTCGCGCTGATTCAATCGTTTTGTGGGTCCCGCGGCGGCGCCATGCCTCACATCGTCTCCTCCACCACCGCAGTTCTTCGTATATTTTTTTTTTGTTCATTTTTATTTCCTTCTTTTCTTTGCAGGCCGCGGCGCTCTGCTGCTCTGCATGCCGGGAGTACAACACCAACCCCCCCCCCCTCACTCTTTTTCCTATGCGAGCGAGTCTAACAAGCGCGGTGGTCGGGGGGAAGGGGCGGCCAAGGGGCGCGGGGGCTGGGGCGGGCGGACGGCATGAGGAAGAAGTAAAGCACAGCAAAGGGGGTAATGTCGCGTCCCCGTCCAAAATGTACGTTGGCAATGGAATACTGTGATCGGGCGATTGCTGTATTTCCAGGGTGAAACCTCGAAAGGGATGAGGTAGTATTTTCCAATGTATGTTGTTAGTTACTACACTACGCTGCACACTTTGAAACGTGTGACTTAGTTTTAGAATTTTAGAATAGTAAAAAAGTGGAACAGTAAATTTTAGTGCCCCAAAGCATCAAAGCCAACCCCGAAGTTGAACACTCTTTTAGGTGTGCGTGCAACTGAACTGTTTCATACTGTTTATTACTATTTAATAAATTATTTTTCCAAGCACATATAAGTAAGAGCAACAATAACAAGTAGCACACTTCATTACCAGTGCGTGAGTGAGAGACGCGTATGGTCACCAAATGAAAAAGAGCGTGTACCGGAAACGGTGCCAACGCCCCCCGAGGCGAGGAAGCGTCCATACGCGGGGATACGCTGCCCAGGCACGCTTGACTGGACAGTCCAAAGTGCAGCGCGGCCATACGAACCCATTCAAATGGCCCATTCCATCCACTATGTGGGGTGGGGGGGGAAGGAAGAGGAGGGAAGGGACGGGACAGGGGGAGAGGGAGGGTAGGAGAGGGGGGGAAGAAAGGGGACAGCAGTCGACACAGCGATGAGCGTAGGAAGGAGGGGTGAGTGCATCGTCTTTGCGACAGGCCTTAGTGTGGTGGCGGCGGTGGTAGTAGTTGCGTGTGGTACCGCGCGGCAAAGGGAGGGGGGTGTTATTCAAAGCGCTTTGCTTCGCCGCCGGTCCAAAGCGACTTGGAATACCAAATGATATGAAAGCAGCGCTCGCCCCGCGCCGCCCCGTCGTGCCGCCCCTGCTGCTGCTGCTGGCCGAGGAGGAACAGTAAGCGCATCAAAAGAAACTTGCCGAGTGCTGTGCCGCCTCCGCGCGCCATTCACGCGGGCGGCCGCGCGTCGTCTGCAAAGTGGCGGCGCGGGAACGCGAAGGCAGGCCGAGGCGGACGCACGTGTGCGACGGTATGGGTGGGGAGGGGGGGGGGGGCTCGGCAATAAGAGCGTGAACGGAGGCGAAATATGGCGATAAGATATACGCGCGCTAAATTGCAGGTAAACATCTTTGGTATTTTGTGACGCGGGTTAATGTCCGCTTGTCCCTATTGCAAAGCACGCACACGAAGCACGGCGCTTATGCGTAATGGGTGGGTATGTGTGATTTTTGAGACATATGCAGTTTTGAAAGAAGCCGTTTTTTTTTCAACCAGAAAGTCATTACTTTGCGTATCTCAAAATGTCAAAAAAAATTGATACGTGTTTTCGCAGGACAATAAAGCGATGTGCTCGAGCGAGTATATACAGCACCCGGTCATGATATAGGAGACTTTTTGGCAGTAATGTGCTTTTGCCATTATTACAGACCGCTGTACAATAATAAACGAAAAACTGCATACTTTTTGTTGTGTGCTGAGAGAGAGAGAAGGATGCGGTCGGTGCGCATACCAATAGTGATGTGTGGGTGGGGATGGGGAAGGTAAATGGGAGGGGGCCGCATGCTCCGCCACAATTCCCTATCGGGCTTTCCCCCAACCGCCTCTGTTTCCTCCCCCCCTCCTTCCTCTCTCTCTAACACACACGCACACACACACTCTGCTCGACAGGAGGGCGAGCTGGGCGAGGCCACCGAAAGCAAAGCTTTTCATTAATTGGAAACGTTCATCGACGTCGGGTGCAGGAAGTGCAAAACCGCCCACGTCAACCGAAATAGGATCCTGAAATTTACAAACCAATAAGCGCTGGGTGCGGGTGTGGCTAGGGGTTTGGGATGGGGCGCACGCTCACGCCCGCGATAGCGTGAGAAGGGGGTGGGAGAGAAAGAAAGGGAGAGTAAGAGAGAGAGAGAGAGTGGGGGCCCAGCAGGGGTCCAGCAGAGGCGTACGTGCGACTGGCACTGCATGTGAACAAGCCCGAGGGGGGTAGTTGGTACACGATATCCCGTTCCATTTTTAAAAACTCCGGGATGCGGGGGCGGCAGGCAGCCCGCGGCGCGGCTGGGGCGGGGCGACGAGGTGCAACCCTGCTCGCTTTATTCAGACCAACAATCCGCCGCCGGGTACCCCCCTACCCCCCAACCCCCCCCCCCCGGGTCATATCGCACTTCCCTCCTTGACGCCCGGCGCGGGACAAACAAAAGTTTGTTTTCGTGGCGTGGCGGCGAGGGGCGCGACGGGGGGTCTC